TACTCATAGCAACCTGAGAGGACAGGCCCAAACTGCCCCTGTGGGTTTCCAAGACTGTAGCGCTTACGGAAAGTGCAGGGACTTGTTTTACTTGGATCTGAGCATCCGGCTGCTCCAGTGGCGGGCTCTTCAATTTCACATTTCATCTCAGCCACTAATGTTCACATCTTGTCAAATTGCCACCAAGGATGTCCTGGAGGGCTACCCCTGGACAAAGCTGTGATGTTCTGTGAGAACTGCCATCTGAGGGTTCAGAGACTGCAGCTCTACCAAATGGGCTGTGGCCACGTTAACGTTGGAACAGGGCTCCTGCTCGCCGTCAAATGTTCCGTGTGCTCTTTCCGAACAGCCGTTGCGCTAATCTTGTTTCAATCGAGCTCCTGATTTCAATTCAAAATAGCCTATCATTATTGTTATGCCTTTACCAACAGAGGGAAGGCATGTTGCTGGTGTGACCCGGGAAAGGCAGAAGGGGGTGGGGGTGGGGGGAGAGAAGAAGAGTCTGGGTTTTCTTCTGGATTGGTTTCTAACAGCTGTATTGTCATTGTCTTCCCTGTACCCAATGGTTGTGAGGTTGCTGGTGGGATTTAACTTATTTTTACCCCTTTTCTAAATCCCTTAATGATGGGAACCTCTCTCTCTAAAAACTACAAAATAGAGATGCGTATTTGTTCGGTACAAAGTACTCTGAGGTACCTTTGTGATGACACGGGTGGGTACCAGGCAGTAAAGTCGTGTCCGTTTGTCTCTCACACTGGCTGTCCCGAGGATTCAGACTCACAGAGCCCCCAGGCGTGTCAGAGCAAAACTGCAGTTCATTACAGGTTTCAAAGGCCCACCCTTTTCTCCCAAGGTGTTTCTCTGAGACCCCAAGCCTCCACCTGTGCTATCAGCAGCCAAGCTTGTTACCTGAGCGCATCAAGCTCTTGTTCAGCACTTGGCAAAATACAGACATGATTTTTCACCTGCCATTCAACGAACGATTCCTTTGAAAGGATAAAATAAGTCTAAGTCGTCATCTTCCTTGACTGGCAGGTTTGCTGTCACATTCATCTCAACTGAGTTTTCAAGATAATTGTTAGACTTTTTCATCAACTGTGTTCTAGACTATAATCTCCGGCTCTGAATTCCCACCGCCTCCCTCGCCTTGACTCTCGTTATGAACCCAAGACAATTAAAGATCCTCTCTACAATAAATAGAGAACTCACTCTGCGGTTTATAACGCCCCTAGGACCAATCTACTCAAACTCAGGATCAAATGAATAGGCTGGACCCTTTTGGACCATCAGGGACCTACCGTTTGAGAAGAGCATCACCAGTAGTCACGTCCATCTGACTAAGTGAAAGATCTTTCTTTCTTGTTTTCAATCATTTTATTGGGGCTCTTAAAGCTCTTATCACAATCCATCCATCCATTCATTGTGTCAAGCACATTTTTTGTTTTGTTTTGTTTTGAAACATTTTATTAGGGGCTCATACAACTGTTATCACAATCCATACACACATCAATTGTGTAAAGCGCATTTGTACATCATTCTCAAAACATTTTCTCTCCACTTAAACCCCTGATATTAGGTCCTCATTTTTCCCCTCCCTCCCCGCTCCCCCCTCCCTCATGAGCCCTTGATAGTTTATAAATTGGTATTTTGTCATATCTTGCCCTGTCCGACATCTCCCTTCACCCACTTTTCGGTTGTCTGTCCCCCCGGGAGGAGGTCACATATAGTTCCTTGTAATCGGTTCCCTCTTTCCTACCCATTCTCCCTTTACCTTCCCAGTATCACCACTCACACCACTGGTCCTGTAGGGCTCATCCACCCTGGATTCCCTTGTTTTTAGTTCCTATCTGTACCAGTGTACATCCTCTGGTCTAGCCAGACTTGCAAGGTTGAATTGGAGTCATGGTAGTGGGAGCGGGGAGGAAGCATTTAGGAACTAGAGGAAAGTTGTATTTCTCATCATTGTTACGTGTCAAGCACATTTGTACATTTGTTGCTATCATCATTTTCAAAACATTTTCTGTCTACTTGAGCCCTTGGTATCGAACCCTTGGTAATTTATAAATTATTATTATTTTTCATGTCTCACACTGCTCCGTCTCCCTTCACCCACTTTTGTTGCCCGTCCCCCTGGGAGGGGGTTATGGGTAGATCACTGCGATCAGTTCCCCTTTTCTCCCCCCATCTTACCCTTACTTTCCTGGTATCACTACTGTCATTATTGGTCCTCAGGGGCTTATCTGTCCTGGATTCCCTGTGTTTCCAGCTCTTATCTGTAACAGTCTACATGCTCTGTTCTCGCTGGATTTGTAAGGTAAAATTGGGGTCATGATAGTGGGGGGTAGGAAGCATTAAAGAACTAGAGGAAAGTTGTATGTTTCATCGGTGCTATACTGCACCTTAATTTCTAAAATAAAAATGAACATATTATGTAACATGAAATGAAGGTTACATTCAAACTGGTACTATTTTCCTTCAAAATAGCTCTCTTGGAAAGCACATCCCTTTTTCTAATGATGATCCCATTGCTTAAAATATCTTGAGTATGGTCTTTAGTCAGGTTAAGCATCACTGGAAGACAAGTGACCTCACTGGTTTTACTCATATATGCTTTCTTTTTTGGACACTACCCAGTACAGCTCATCTTCATTATCGACTTAGTCCCCAGATCTGGTTCCAAATTTTTTTCGGGGATGGGGGGTGGGGGGTTGGGAGTTGGTAAGAGGGTGTTTCCAAAGTTTAATTATCAAAGGACAGTGATCTGCAGCCATCAGAGATATCTAAAAGAATGTGCTATGTAAACTTGGGGGAAGATTGGAGAGAGAATTCAGGAAGGCTGTCTCAGGCCTTGACAGCACAATTTCGAACGGTGTCCCCAGCTTCTCAAAGTGAGCCTGCTCACTGGCACCCTCCTCTTCCTTCTAGTGCTGTCTCTGGGGCCTAGTCTGTCTTGACCTTGGGGAAAATGCATGGGGAGCCCCATGCCTGCAAAGGTCTCTTGGCAGCATTCCAATTCTAGGTCAATGATGCAAACACAAGGTTCTCTGATTTTGGTTAAATAAATAAATAAATGAAGTTGCTGAAGGCCCTATCAGGAATTTATTATGTCATCATATCAATGATTGGGGTAGACTTTTCCCTTTACACATTCTCCTACATTCGTGTTTAGACCATCTGGGGACAAAACCAAAGTTTTGATTCAATGAATTTAAGTTTTTTATGGAAACATTTTATTTTATTGCAAATCAAGGGATATAGTTGCCCAGGGTGTGATGAGAAAGAGAAGAATTGTGAATAATAATTTGATTTCTTTTGGCTTTCTGAGCCATTCATTCTTCTTAATATGGCACTGATTTTCCCAAACTGGACACCTCTGTTACACAAACTAGTTACATTATGTAAAAGATCTACCAACACCTAATTGTCATTATGACAGTCATCTTTCATGTTAAGTGCTGGTCTTATTAACTATTATTTTTGAAAAGTTTGGTTCTGTCTGCTGATAACTGCTTACCTTAAAGATTAAATGACTTAAACACACACACACACACACACACACTTCCTGTGAACTGCTGCCAATGCAGGTATTTGTAGCCTAAGTCTGGTTCCATTTAGAGGTTTGGGGAAGGGTTGTTTTTTTTTTTCTTTCCTTTTTTAAGTATCCGGGGCTTTACAGCCTGGTCTTTTTCATGAGAAATGTCAGCAAAGTTGTTGAATTCATGAACTGTGAAGTGCTCAAAAACATACCATTATCAAAAAGTATCCTGCAAAGGCATAACGCTAACCAGAGGGGACCCTTGAGTTTATTACCAAACACCCTAGCCTAACTAAAAAGAATTAAGATAACCACTGGCTTGGGCACAATGTCTTTGAACAAAGACCCCGGGAGGGCGGGGGAGGGGGGGGGCGGGGAGGTCAGAGCTGGAGTAGCAATGTGGGAAATGTGTTTACGCTGGAGTTACTTTAGCTTGGTACAGCACTTCCGTCAAAACGATGGAATTATACAAACCCTGCTATAAAAGATACCAGGTGAAGGGGACTAAGAGGAGGGAGGAGTGGCGTGTTCAGAGGGTTGCGCAAATAAATCTAAACGATAGGTCCTTGGCTATCCCTAATGTAGGTTTTCTTTTAATTTTGCTATTTCAAAAAAAAAATGCGGTGTAACTCCTTCAATCTTTTTGCAATTCTGCATGGTTGAACATTTGAAATGAGTTTGTGTATCCCCCTCAGGCGCTGATTCAGACTTGATTGGGGCAAAGCAGACTGCATGTGCTTATTTTTATACACGTCATTGGGGACGTTGGGTCGCCAAAGGAACCAAAAATGTGCTGCTCTATTGCCAAATTATCACCTATCCTTTGATCAGACTGGGCGGTGATCTTCGCCAACAAGTTGTGCGACCTTACAGGGACGGCAATGTCAGGTCAACTTGAGAAAGTGAGCCCCAAACACAAATAAAAAGAAACAACCAACAATCCTTATAATTATCATCATCTGCTGCTTTTCCCTCTTTTGGCAAAGAAACACTCCATCCATTTGCAGAAATCGCCCGCGGAAACGTTACATCAAAACTAATCACAACGATTAAAATCAGCTTTTCTGTGCAAGAGGAGGGTAAAAAGCAAGTTGGAGGCTGGAATGAGACTGTTTTTCCACCCCAAAAAAATCTGGTAAAAAATTCTTCTTTATATGTATCTATACATATATACGTAGAGCTTTCTTTTTGAGGCAGATCAATTGTCTGCCCTGTGATCAGTTAATCTGATTTAAGTTTTATTTTGGAGATTGATTCAGACTGGAGGTAGAGGCACGAGCTAATTGTATCCTGATCCTTGCCTTGAGGGGTTTCAAAGCCCTGGAGCAAGTCTTCTCTGTATTTTGTTCTGTCTACCTTAGCCAAGCTATTGCATTTCTCTGTGGTGTGGCGAGCCGAGCAGATCGCTGGGAGAGAAATCGGGAAAGGGGGGAGAGGAAAAGGAAAAGGGGACTTGGAGAGAGACTTTGTGCTTCAATGTTTCAGGTAAGATCTGACGGTTTGGGTTTGTTATTATTTGCTAAGGAGGGTATGGCTGGGACTTTGGGCGCAACTCGCTTTTACGCATGTGCCAGGCATGGGGCGAGAGCGCGGCACGCTCGCACACACACGGCCCG